GGGGGGTGGTGGCCGGCCCAGCGCCCAGGAGCGTCTCCCTGCTGAGAAGGCGGTGCGGCCCTCATTTGCCGGGCCCTGGGCCCCTCCCTCTGCCTTCATCCAGGCATCTCCTCTGCATGCTCTCAGCGGGGCTGGAGTCTGGCCTGCCCTCCTTTTCCGTCATTACTCTTTCTCCCATTAATTGCATTAGTTTTTATCAGATGGTTGATTGAATCTTCCATTCATATTACGCGATTTTTGCTCGAGGACTCTTTTTCAGTCTCAGATTGAGTGGTTTTAGTTACGCGGGGCTGCCCAGTGGCTTACGCTAGCCCTGACAGCCCTCAGGAGGTAGAGTGTATCCTTAGCTCCGTCCTGACTGGAGCAGAGGAGCTGGACAGGCAGCACCGTGGAGGCACTGGTCCTGCATGTGCCCGCGCCCCGCACAGTGGTGGGTGGCAGTACCGGCATGAGGCAGAGGGCAGTAAGCCCCGTCCCCGCCTTCCTTTCTTTGGAGCACAGGTCATCATGGCCGCGTCCAGACTTCACTCTCCGGCCGGCCCTATGCCTTAGTTAGAGGAGCCAGTTCCCACATGGCTGACCTTGGGTCACATCCTGGCCAGTCTTGAAAAACATGCCATGCACATGTGTGTGCTTGCCTGAAATTCCAGCAGGTTGGAGAAGTGGAGAACATGAGCACGCCCTATTTGGGGGGCGTCCCCCATCATTCTCTGGTGAGTGCCTACACTCTGGCAATAGAAGAAATAAATGGCATTTTGCCTGAGGTTTTGGTGCACACTGCCATTACAGCACAGGGTCTGCTCCAGCCGGGAGACACTGCCAGCCCTGCTGAGCCCGACCCTGGTCTTCAGGCCCTCCGCCCTCCCTCAGTGACCTCACAGGGACCACGGGGCCAGCGAGCACTCTTGGTGAATGACACGCAGACAGAATTAATTAGCGAATGGAAAGTCCCCACTAATTTAATTTTGCCGTTGAGGCTAATCTCAGTGATCTGTGTTCCAGGACCTTTTTTCGATCAGTGCATACGTTTATGCCCAGAAGCCACAACTGGACATCCACAGCTTTGAAGGCACGTTCACCAGGGTGAGTCGGTCTCGTCCCGTGGACTCCTACTCGTGTGTGCGTGGTAAAGGTAACAGCCTTTATTCTCAGAGAACATGCCAACCAAGAATAAACCCACGCAGGAGTTTTGAACTAGAAAGTGAAGCCTGCTAGAACATTTCCAGTTCCTGCATTCCCCTATCAAGGGTTTCTCTGGGCTGTGCTCAACACGGTGGTTCTGGGTGTTCGGCACGTTTGCAGAGGTGAGGTGCTCCTCCCCTGAGGTACTCTGAGTCAGTGAGGTGAGGCCCTTGTCATTCGGCGTTAGACCGTGGCCTGGAGCGCTGCGAAGGCCGTGGTGTTGCAGTCTCGTCTCACAGAGTGTTCATTGTGAACGTTGCTCGAGACACTCTCCTCACGTCACGTTCCCGGATGTCATACTGTTGAGGCCTGCCCTTCGGACGCATGAACCAGTCGGTGTGGGGAGAGTGAGAGCCCCCGTGGGGTGTGATCACACAGCCCCTTCTCCCCCATTTCTCCGCCCCGTCAGGACTCGGGCAAGGACACACACATGCCTCGTGGGCTTTTCAAGCTGTTGGGGCTGATTTGAACCACGTTCAGCCTTATGGGATCTGGCTCCCCAACTTTGGACACCGGGCTGGCCCTACATTCTTTTAAGTCTTGATTTTTCTTAGAGTGCTCTTTTTTTTTTTTTTTGAAGAGGTTTTTGCTATAGGGCACGTGTGCTCGCCAGACAGACAGAGACAGACAGAAAGTGAGAAATCACCCCCCAGGGGGGATGGACACGCCACAATCCCTTCAATCTCCTCCATTCTCCTCTTGGGATCATGGACACACATGCACGCACACGCACCCAGCGTGAGTTTAAGCCACGGTGCGAACCACGGTCAACTACATGGGAGTCCAGCAACATAGCCATTACACTAGCTGCTGGTCCCTCTTATGTGCTCTTAAGAGCAAAGCTGCAGACATGTCAGACAAGACCCCATCCTCTGAGCACCTGCCGCCTGGCCTCTTTCAGGTCCCCTACAGGTGCACCTCCTGGTCATCCCCAGGTAGGCCTCCAGGCACAGAGCTCTCAGGAAGTACAGGTGTCTGACAGCCTGTCAGACAGGGCACCGCGGAGCAGTTCCCACCAATACCTCTGTCCGAATCCAGGGCTTGGGCACCATGATGTGTGGCAGGGCACACAGCAAGGGCTGCCCTGCTCTGTGAGAGCCGGCGTGGCTCCTTGTGGCCCGTCCTCCTTCAGCCCGAGTCCGCTCCGTGGGATGCCCCTCACCCTTCTGGTTACGCACACGGTTCTAGGATATGAAGCTGCTGGGGGCTCTTGGGGTTGGGACAGCACCTCTGGGCACTGTGTCCCTCTGCCCCTCCTACCTTGGCCTCTGCTGTGAGTCTAGCTATCCTCCCAGACACCCCTTGGAGAGGAGCCACCTTTGTGGGCAGGTCACGCCAGACCTACCTGGACCTCCAGCTGAGAGTGCCCTGTGACTCCCTGCTTCCAGCTCTCATGCCTGTGGGCAGTTCCAGGAGTGTCCCTCAGCCTTCATCCTTGGTCACCAACCTGAGGAGCAGGCGTGGCCCAGCCCTGATGCCCGCAGGTGCTGCCTGCACGCCGAGACTTTGTGCCCCGCTCAGCTACAGCCCTGCCGCGTGCTCTGTGAGCAGCAGGAAGCCTGGCTGCAGTCTGGCGCCCTCCCGTGTGGGCCTTGGTTCCTGCTCACAGATGTCCCCTGCCTTCTCTGCCTTCTGTCCCCCACTCTATTGTGACCGAGGAGAGCGGAGGGGTGGGGGAGAGCAGCAGTTGTGACAGGGTGCTGCTATATTAGGACCCTCCTGCTGCAGCCTCCCAGTCAGCTAGCATCTCCCCAGGTGCTCAGCGGGCCGGGGCTGGCCTGGGGCCTTCCGCACAGTGCCAGCTCCCAGGCTATCCTGCTGTCTGCGCCACCCCACACTGGCCTTCCTTTACCTTCTGACACTACACACACAACTTGTCCTGTAAAGACGTTGCTGATCCTGGCTCTGAAGCCTTCTTCAAAACATCTCTTCTGTCCGGCAGGGCTGTCGCGAGTCCTCTATTCTCCAGAGGGCTAGTTCCATCTTTGCCTTCAGCCTGGTTGTGATTTATGTCACCTTCACAGATTCTGGCACAGAGGTTGGATTGTCCCTGTCCTGGCAGGACAGAGAAGGAGTCATCCTGATCAGGGTAGGGACAGAGATGGGGCCGTCCCATCAGAGCATTTAAGCCACGGCGCGAACCACGGTCAACTACATGGGAGTCCAGCAACATAGCCATTACGCTAGCTGCTGGTCCCTCTTATGTGCTCTTAAGAGCAAAGCTGCAGACATGTCAGACAAGACCCCATCCTCTGAGCACCTGCCGCCTGGCCTCTTTCAGGTCCCCTACAGGTGCACCTCCTGGTCATCCCCAGGTAGGCCTCCAGGCACAGAGCTCTCAGGAAGTGCAGGTGTCTGACAGCCTGTCAGACAGGGCACCGCGGAGCAGTTCCCACCAATACCTCTGTCCGAATCCAGGGCTTGGGCATCATGATGTGTGGCAGGGCACACAGCAAGGGCTGCCCTGCTCTGTGAGAGCCGGCGTGGCTCCTTGTGGCCCGTCCTCCTTCAGCCCGAGTCCGCTCCGTGGGATGCCCCTCACCCTTCTGGTTACGCACACGGTTCTAGGATATGAAGCTGCTGGGGGCTCTTGGGGTTGGGACAGCACCTCTGGGCACTGTGTCCCTCTGCCCCTCCTACCTTGGCCTCTGCTGTGAGTCTAGCTATCCTCCCAGACACCCCTTGGAGAGGAGCCACCTTTGTGGGCAGGTCACGCCAGACCTACCTGGACCTCCAGCTGAGAGTGCCCTGTGACTCCCTGCTTCCAGCTCTCATGCCTGTGGGCAGTTCCAGGAGTGTCCCTCAGCCTTCATCCTTGGTCACCAACCTGAGGAGCAGGCGTGGCCCAGCCCTGATGCCCGCAGGTGCTGCCTGCACGCCGAGACTTTGTGCCCCGCTCAGCTACAGCCCTGCCGCGTGCTCTGTGAGCAGCAGGAAGCCTGGCTGCAGTCTGGCGCCCTCCCGTGTGGGCCTTGGTTCCTGCTCACAGATGTCCCCTGCCTTCTCTGCCTTCTGTCCCCCACTCTATTGTGACCGAGGAGAGCGGAGGGGTGGGGGAGAGCAGCAGTTGTGACAGGGTGCTGCTATATTAGGACCCTCCTGCTGCAGCCTCCCAGTCAGCTAGCATCTCCCCAGGTGCTCAGCGGGCCGGGGCTGGCCTGGGGCCTTCCGCACAGTGCCAGCTCCCAGGCTATCCTGCTGTCTGCGCCACCCCACACTGGCCTTCCTTTACCTTCTGACACTACACACACAACTTGTCCTGTAAAGACGTTGCTGATCCTGGCTCTGAAGCCTTCTTCAAAACATCTCTTCTGTCCGGCAGGGCTGTCGCGAGTCCTCTATTCTCCAGAGGGCTAGTTCCATCTTTGCCTTCAGCCTGGTTGTGATTTATGTCACCTTCACAGATTCTGGCACAGAGGTTGGATTGTCCCTGTCCTGGCAGGACAGAGAAGGAGTCATCCTGATCAGGGTAGGGACAGAGATGGGGCCGTCCCATCAGAGCAGGGATGGAGATGAGGTCGTCTACACCAGCACAGAGGCAGAGCTCAATTTTCTAGGGCAGAACGCAGCCAGACTGGCACAGTCTTTGGGTCCTCGAGTCTTAGCACACGTTCCTGAGTGGGCTGGCACATAGGCCTGTGGGGACAGCCACCCGCCTAGCGCAGCCGCCCGCCTAGCACTGCTTGCGCACCGTGCGGGCCGGGGGTGCGGGACCTCACCCAGCGCTCATGCTGAGGCGGTGCCATGGGAGGTTATTAACGAGAGAAAGACAGAGACTTCCGGCTTGCGTGGTCATTTGCATACCTAGACATGTATGGGTTATTGCAGGACCTTGGTGTAATTCACATAACGCTCCTTCGTCACCTTTATTGAAGCTTCTAATAGGGTTTTGTTTTCCTTGTTTTAAGTATCGCAGTCTTGAGTTCTAGATTATTTATCTTATTTATTTTGTTAAGTGAGATTTTTGCTATAGGGTTCATGTGTTCACTGGAGAGACACAGAGAGACAGAGAAAGAAAGCAAGAAATCACCCCTGCCCCACTCACCCCAAGAGGCAATGGCCATGCTGCAATCCCAATCCCAAAGGAGAAGCCTTTTGGGATTTTGGGCACACTCACGTGGGCCCAGCATGAGGTGTTTTTGTTTGTTTGTTTGTTTGTTTTTGAGCCTTTTTTGCTATAGAGCATGTGTGCTCACCAGAAAGAGAGAGAGATGGAGAGATAGAAAGTGAGAAATCACCCCCCAGGGAGGATGGCCATGGTGCAATCCCTTCTCCTCCATTCTCCTCTCGGGATCTTGGGCATGTACGCACATGTGCCCAGCATGAGTTTAAGCCACTGGGTCCAGAACTCGAACCACAGTCGACTACATAGGAGTTCAGCGACTTAGCCATTACACTAACTGCTGGTCCCCCCAGTATGAGTTTTAAGCCACTGGGACTCGAACCACAGTCACCTACCTGGGAGTCCAGCTACGTGACCAGTATGCCATCTGATGATCCTGAGTTCTAGGTTATTTTAAATAAAAAATCTTTGTGTGCATTTTTCAGAAAGGAAGAAGGAGAAAGACGTGTTAGATAACTAGTTTTGTAGCTAGATGGTGGAATTCAGTTTAGTGTTTACCCACCGAACGTCGCTTCGACGTGATAACCACTTCCCCTTTGTAGTGCACGGCAGCGACGGCACATCTCTGTCAGCAGAACATCCTTGCTCGTTAAGTGAGAGAGCAAGGGAAGGTTCCGTGGCAGCAGGGCACACGGTGAGCCCGCTGCCACGCACAGTCTTGCACGTGGGGCCCATGCTGTGTGGGCACGGTCTGCCCTCTGCTCACCCGCGAGGATGTCCGAGCCACTGCTCAGCTTGCGTGTGACGGCCTCTGTTCTTCAGTGTCTCGGCGATGCCC